GCTACTGGAAGGCTACTGGAAGGCTACTGGAAGGCTACTGGAAGGCTACTGGAAGGTTACTGGAAGGCTACTGGAAGGCTACTGGAAGGCAACTGGAAGGCTACTGGAAGGCTACTGGAAGGCAACTGGAAGGCTACTGGAAGGCTACTGGAAGGCAACAGGAAAGCTACTGGAAGGCAACTGGAAAGCTACTGGAAGAAAACTGGAAGGCAACTGGAAGGCTACTGGAAGGCAACTGGAAGGCAACTGGAAGGCTACTGGAAGGCTACTGGAAGGCTACTGGAAGGCTACTGGAAGGCTACTGGAAGGCTACTGGAAGGCAACTGGAAGGCTACTGGAAGGCAACTGGAAGGCTACTGGAAGGCAACTGGAAAGCTACTGGAAAGCTACTGGAAGAAAACTGGAAGGCTACTGGAAGGATACTGGAAGGCAACTGGAAGGCTACTGGAAGGTAACTGGAAGGCTACTGGAAGGCAACTGGAAGGCTACTGGAAGGCAACTGGAAGGCTACTGGAAGGCTACTGGAAGGCAACTGGAAGGCTACTGGAAGGCTACTGGAAGGCAACTGGAAGGCTACTGGAAGGCTACTGGAAGGCAACTGGAAGGCTACTGGAAGGCTACTGGAAGGCTAATGGAAGGCTACTGGAAGGTAACTGGAAGGCTACTGGAAGGCAACTGGAAGGCTACTGGAAGGCAACTGGAAGGCTACTGGAAGGTAACTGGAAGGCTACTGGAAGGCAACTGGAAGGCTACTGGAAGGCAACTGGAAGGCTACTGGAAGGCAACTGGAAGGCTACTGGAAGGATCCTGGAAGGGTACTGGAAGGGTACTGGAAGGGTACTGGAAGGCTACTGGAAGGCAACTGGAAGGCAACTGGAAGGCTACTGGAAGGCTACTGGAAGGCAACTGGAAGGCTACTGGAAGGCTACTGGAAGGCAACTGGAAGGCTACTGGAAGGTAACTGGAAGGCTACTGGAAGGCAACTGGAAGGCTACTGGAAGGCAACTGGAAGGCTACTGGAAGGATCCTGGAAGGGTACTGGAAGGGTACTGGAAGGGTACTGGAAGGCTACTGGAAGGCTACTGGAAGGCTACTGGAAGGCAACTGGAAGGCAACTGGAAGGCTACTGGAAGGCTACTGGAAGGCAACTGGAAGGCTACTGGAAGGCTACTGGAAGGCAACTGGAAGGCTACTGGAAGGCAACTGGAAGGCTACTGGAAGGCTACTGGAAGGCTACTGGAAGGCTACTGGAAGGCTACTGGAAGGCAACTGGAAGGCTACTGGAAGGCTACTGGAAGGCAACTGGAAGGCAACTGGAAGGCTACTGGAAGGCTACTGGAAGGCTACTGGAAGGCTACTGGAAGGCAACTGGAAGGCTACTGGAAGGCAACAGGAAAGCTACTGGAAGGCAACTGGAAAGCTACTGGAAGAAAACTGGAAAGCTACTGGAAGAAAACTGGAAGGCAACTGGAAGGCTACTGGAAGGCAACTGGAAGGCTACTGGAAGGCTACTGGAAGGCAACTGGAAGGCTACTGGAAGGCTACTGGAAGGCAACTGGAAGGCTACTGGAAGGCAACTGGAAAGCTACTGGAAAGCTACTGGAAGAAAACTGGAAGGCTACTGGAAGGATACTGGAAGGCAACTGGAAGGCTACTGGAAGGTAACTGGAAGGCTACTGGAAGGCAACTGGAAGGCTACTGGAAGGCAACTGGAAGGCTACTGGAAGGCTACTGGAAGGCAACTGGAAGGCTACTGGAAGGCAACTGGAAGGCTACTGGAAGGCTACTGGAAGGCTACTGGAAGGCAACTGGAAGGCTACTGGAAGGCTACTGGAAGGCTACTGGAAGGCTAATGGAAGGCTACTGGAAGGTAACTGGAAGGCTACTGGAAGGCAACTGGAAGGCTACTGGAAGGCAACTGGAAGGTAACTGGAAGGCTACTGGAAGGCAACTGGAAGGCTACTGGAAGGCAACTGGAAGGCTACTGGAAGGATCCTGGAAGGGTACTGGAAGGGTACTGGAAGGCTACTGGAAGGCTACTGGAAGGCAACTGGAAGGCAACTGGAAGGCAACTGGAAGGCAACTGGAAGGCTACTGGAAGGCTACTGGAAGGCTACTGGAAGGCTACTGGAAGACAACTGGAAGGCAACTGGAAGGCAACTGGAAGGCTACTGGAAGGCTACTGGAAGGCTACTGGAAGGCTACTGGAAGACAACTGGAAGGCTACTGGAAGGCAACTGGAAGGCAACTGGAAGGCTACTGGAAGGTAACTGGAAGGCTACTGGAAGGGTACTGGAAGGCTACTGGAAGGCAACTGGAAGGCTACTGGAAGGCTACTGGAAGGCAACTGGAAGGCTACTGGAAGGCTAATGGAAGGCTACTGGAAGGTAACTGGAAGGCTACTGGAAGGCAACTGGAAGGCTACTGGAAGGCAACTGGAAGGCTACTGGAAGGTAACTGGAAGGCTACTGGAAGGCAACTGGAAGGCTACTGGAAGGGTACTGGAAGGGTACTGGAAGGCTACTGGAAGGCAACTGGAAGGCAACTGGAAGGCAACTGGAAGGCTACTGGAAGGCAACTGGAAGGCTACTGGAAGGGTACTGGAAGGTAACTGGAAGGCTACTGGAAGGCTACTGGAAGGCTACTGGAAGGGTACTGGAAGGCTACTGGAAGGCAACTGGAAGGCTACTGGAAGGCTACTGGAAGGCAACTGGAAGGCTACTGGAAGGCAACTGGAAGGCTACTGGAAGGCAACTGGAAGGCAACTGGAAGGCTACTGGAAGGTAACTGGAAGGCTACTGGAAGGGTACTGGAAGGCTACTGGAAGGCAACTGGAAGGCTACTGGAAGGGTACTGGAAGGCTACTGGAAGGCAACTGGAAGGCTACTGGAAGGCAACTGGAAGGCTACTGGAAGGCTACTGGAAGGCTACTGGAAGGCTACTGGAAGGCAACTGGAAGGCAACTGGAAGGCAACTGGAAGGCTACTGGAAGGCAACTGGAAGGCTACTGGAAGAAAACTGGAAGGCTACTGGAAGGCAACTGGAAGGCAACTGGAAGGCTACTGGAAGGCAACTGGAAGGCTACTGAAAGGCTACTGGAAGGCTACTGTAAGGCTACTGGAAGGTAACTGGAAGGCTACTGGAAGGCTACTGGAAGTCTACTGGAAGGCTACTGGAAGGCAACTGGAAGGCTACTGGAAGGCTACTGGAAGGCTACTGGAAGGCTACTGGAAGGCTACTGGAAGGGTACTGGAAGGGTACTGGAAGGCTACTGGAAGGCTACTGGAAGGCTACTGGAAGGCAACTGGAAGGCTACTGCAAGGCAACTGGAAGGCTACTGGAAGGCAACTGGAAGGCAACTGGAAGGCTACTGGAAGGCTACTGGAAGGCAACTGGAAGGCTACTGGAAGGCTACTGGAAGGCAACTGGAAGGCTACTGGAAGGCAACTGGAAGGCTACTGGAAGGCAACTGGAAGGCTACTGGAAGGCTACTGGAAGGCAACTGGAAGGCAACTGAAAGGCAACTGAAAGGCAACTGGAAGGCTACTGGAAGGCTACTGAAAGGCAACTGGAAGGCTACTGGAAGGCAACTGGAAGGCAACTGGAAGGCAACTGGAAGGCAACTGGAAGGCAACTGGAAGGCAACTGGAAGGCTACTGGAAGGCAACTGAAAGGCAACTGAAAGGCAACTGGAAGGCAACTGGAAGGCAACTGGAAGGCAACTGGAAGGCAACTGGAAGGCAACTGGAAGGCTACTGGAAGGCAACTGGAAGGCTACTGGAAGGCAACTGGAAGGCAACTGGAAGGCTACTGGAAGGCTACTGGAAGGCTACTGGAAGGCTACTGGAAGGCAACTGGAAGGCTACTGGAAGGCTACTGGAAGGCAACTGGAAGGCTACTGGAAGGCTACTGGAAGGCAACTGGAAGGCAACTGAAAGGCAACTGAAAGGCAACTGGAAGGCTACTGGAAGGCAACTGAAAGGCAACTGAAAGGCAACTGAAAGGCAACTGAAAGGCAACTGAAAGGCTACTGGAAGGCTACTGGAAGGCAACTGGAAGGCTACTGGAAGGCAACTGGAAGGCTACTGGTGTAGTGTGTGTAGTGTGTGTAGTGTGTGTAGTGTGTGTAGTGTGTGTAGTGTGTGAACATGTATCAGTATATACAGCAAAAACAAACAGAGGGTGGTGAAAGCTGCACAGCACATCACCAGGACGGAGCTGCCATCCATGGAGGACCTTCACTCCCAGCGGCTCAGGAAGAAAGCCCTCAGGATTATCAAAGACCCCCATCACCCCAGCCACAAACTGTTCAGTCTGCTGCCGTCTGGCAGGCGGTACCGCAGCATCAGGACTACAACCACCAGATTCAGAGACAGCTTCATCCCACAGGCCAGAAGACTGTTAAATACCTGAACATTGAAACTATTTCATAACATTCATCTGCTACTTAGTCATTATTTATCTATTTATCTAATATATCATTCCAATAACTTGTATATAGACTCTTACTGCACTATTTCAAACTATTTTTCTTTGTGTATGTTTGTATATACGTACTTGCACTATATGTTTCTGTTTATCTGTGTTATTGTGTTGCTCTGTTGGAGAAGCCTGTGACCTAAGATTTCCATCGGCATAACTACACTGTAGCTATGGTCGTATGACAAAATAAAGGACCTTGAACCTTGAACCAAGGTCCAGTAGAGCCAAGCAACCCAAGAGGAGAGAGAGGCCGTTTCTCAATGTCGAGTATACCTGCTGCAGAGCCACTATTTCAAGTATACTACGTCATCGAGTGGCGCCGAATGCTGGGCATTTAACATGCATTTAAACAGTCCTTCGGAGCCACTCGATGACGTAGTATACTTGAAATAGTGGCTCGTTTCTCAATGTCGAGTAAACCTGCTGCACTTTAAGGTGAGAGCAGCTGGTTGTAAACTGGAGTCTAATGAAGAGAGAGAGGATTGCACAGAACATCAGTTTTAATAAGCGACTCTTACTTTGAGTTTGCTCCCCGCGACGGGAGTGTTCTGGATCTCCCACATGCCTTCAGTGAAGCCTTTGATCCGGACGCCGCTGCCGAACTTCAGCTTGTTCCCGACGTACGGCACGATGTTCTCCGGAGGGATCGTTCCTCTGAGGACGGATATTCAACTCTGAAGTCATCATGTCTTTGCTGTCAGGATTACAGTGTGTGTGTGTGTGTGTGTGTGTGTGGGTGTGTGTGTGTGTGTGTGTGTGTGTGTGTGTGTGTGTGTGTACGTACATTTGATGCTTCCCGAAGAAGTAGACCGGGATTCTCTTATTTCTTCCACCGCCGTCACACTGACACACCTGAACACACAGAATATCACGTTAGCTATACACATCTGCACGCAGGTAGTTATGTTGAGCTGAGCTCCCATAAGGAGGGGTCTGAGCTTGACGCAGTGAAATCATACATCTGTGATTCACAGAATCGAGTGGCCCATGGTGGTGGTGGGGTTATGGTATGAGCAGGCGTATGTTATGGACGACGAACACAGGCCACTCGATTCACAACATTACCCTACCCCTACCCCTCACACCAGATACTGCCTGGTTTTCGGACCCCCCCAGACCCCCCCAATAAAGCAAAACTGCACGTTTCAGAGTGGCCTTTTATTGTGGCCAGCCTAAGGCACACCTGTGCAATAATCATGCTGTCTAATCAGCATCTTGATATGCCACACCTGTGAGGTGGGATGGATTATCTCGGCAAAGGAGAAGTGCTCACTCTCACACATTCTTTCAGATTTGTGAACAATATTTGAGAGAAATGGTTATTTCGTGTTTATAGAAAATGTTTTAGATCTTTGAGTTCATCTCATGAAGAATGGGAGCAAAAACAAAAGTGTTGCATTTATATTTTTGTTCAGTGTATGCGCATGACCTGTGCCGCTGTGCGTTCGTCATCTGCAAGGTGCTTACACAGCAGTCAATGATGGACATCAGAAAATGGTTAAAACAACCAGCCCTTATCGCCAGCAGTAACACTGCATCTACTGCAGGTAATAACAGTTCAGATCATGGGGACATTACGTTACCCGCGGCCACTGTCGTGGACACTAACGTCCTCCCGCCCGACTCGCCGGCTTTGCCCGCCTCGCCCACGGAGGAGCCGCAGCCGTCCTCGTTGCCCCAAACACACCACCCCTCGGCGGCCCGCAAGTGCCAGAGGACCTCGGCAAAACAGAGCCTGCCCAGGTATATTTAAAAAAGTACCCAACTCGCCTGTACAGTGGGGTAAGGCACTCATTTTGCAGGTAATGGTTTCAAAACACAGATTGGCTGGAATATTCCGGTAAAAAAGATGCCATCTTCTGCATGTAGACATTTCGGTCTTGAAAGGGGAGTGATTTGTAGAATATCCATAAAGAAATAGTAAATCTGCTTACAGTTCTGTTTCATATGGGTGTTGAGGTGTAGATCTCTTCATGTTGTTCTCAAAGTGCACCAGATTGATGTTTTTAACTTCAATATTTCCAAAAAAAAAATCTTCCCGGGGGAGCATGCCCCCGGACCCCCCTAGAGGAGGTGAGGACCCCCCTAGAGGGTGTTAGGTCCACTCCCCACTTATAAAAATAGCACTTTCCCACTGCACCCTCTTGAATCTCAGATGCACCCTGAGTCATTTTGTTCTGGAACCGGGCCTGTGTGTGTGTGTGTGTGTGTGTGTGTGTGTGTGTGTGTGTGTGTGTGTGTGGTGTGTGTGTGTGTGTGGTGTGTGTGTGTGTGTGTGTGTGTGTGTGTGTGTGTGTGTGTGTGTGTGTGTGTGTGTGTGTGTGTGTGTGTGTGTGTGTGTGTGTGTGTGTGTGTGTGTGTGTGTGTGTGTGTGTGTGTGTGTGTGTGTGTGTGTGTGTGTGTGTGTGTGTGTGTGTGTGTGTGTGTGTGTGTACCCTGGCAGGCCAGTGGGGGAAGCCCTTCATCTTGGCGAACACCAGGTCTCCCTGTTTGAACTGGTCCCCGTTTTCCCCCGGCATCGTGATGACTCACCCTAATGACAGAGAATCAGCAGAAAGAAAACAGAAATATATTGAGATGACTTAATAACCATCATGTAATCAAGGGGCGTCTGAAAGACACATTTACTCATTGATTATATATATATATATATAGTAATATAGTATAGTATTCGTTTATTAGTCCCCGAGGGGAAAATGGGTTGCAGCACATCACAGAGGCATTTCAAAAAGTTAAGACAATACATCACTGACAACAACATAGACACAGATAAAAACAAACAGACATAAGAAAACCAGATATCGGCAGACATGACAAGGGGCCTATAGGCCCTCATTTGCGAAATAGGGGGGACAGGGCCAGACCAGCTGGGTAAACAGTGCGTCCTAGCCATCATTTGTTCAGGAGTTTGATGGCTTGTGGGACGAAAGACAGCCTAGATCTGTTCTTTTTGAAATAAGGGGCACGATATCTCCGCCCGGATGGCAACAGTTCAAAGTAAGAGGCAAGAGGGTGCCTCAGGTCACTCACAATATTGTGTGCCAGTTTTAAAACTCTGTCCTTATATAAGCATTCTATATTAGCCAATGAGATTCCTGTCAATTTACTGGACAATGTTACGGCCCTCCTGACTGACGTTTTCTGTGCCTCAGTTGCGTTGCCGAACCAGCATATGATGCCGAATGAGAGCACACTTTCGATAAAAGCATGATAAAACATCTTCACCATTCTGTTGCCGACATTAAAAGACAATAATTTACGTAAAAAAACATTCTTTGTTGAGACTTAGCATTTATTTTCTCAGCCCAAACATCCCATGTGAGCTTGTGGTCAAGCACGACACCAAGATACTTGTACTCAGTGACACATTGAATGGGCTCACTATTTAATAAAAGAGTAGGGTTGGGCGATTGTGCTATTCTAAAATCAATTTCCATCTCCTTTGTTTTTGAGGTGTTTAGAAGCAGGTTTGACTTCTCACACCAGTTAATAAAGAAGTCAAGGACAGGCCCATGCTCCTCTTCCTCATCAAAGAGGAGGCTGACCAGGGCCGTATCTTCTGCATACTTAATAAAGTGCCTATTGGGAAAAGTGCTGATGCAGGAGTTGGTGTATAAAATAAACAAAAGAGAGGATAAGACACATCCCTGGGGTGAGCCTATCCAGGTAGTTATTGTGTCAGAAAGTGCCATGCCTATTTTGACCTGCTGAGTTCTCCAGCTGAGGAAGTCAACGATCCAGGAGATCAGACCAGGTTCAAGTGAGAATTCTTCAGTTAAAATATTTGCTAAAATACTTGGCTTAATGGTGTTAAAAGCTGATGAGAAGTCGGCAAATAGAATCTTTACATGGGCTTTTGGCGTCTCGAGGTGAGTGTGCAGAAGATGCAAGAGAGTTGCGATAGCATCTTCCACCCCTCTAGAGGCCTGATATGCAAACTGCATGGGATCTAAGAGGTGCTGCGTTTGTGAGATTAGATGCCTCTTAACTAAACGCTCAAAACATTTCATTACCAGTGAGGTGAGTGCTATAGGCCGAAAGTCATTGGGCCTATATATATATATATATATATATATATATATAAGTATATATACCAGTTTCAGTTTCACATGATGTGTAACTCTTCTCTCATCTTATTAAAAGTGCATATGTATATCTGGTATGTAATTAAGGAGTAGTATAAAGTGACATCAAATGAAAATATTTCAGCTACCTGCATTCTGTATTTGAGTAAATTTATTTATTTACTTTCCAACCATGAATAACTGTTTATTTTTGTACCGTTAACTGTTGACAGTTGTCATCTGAAATGTATAAACCACATCAAAAGTTTAAACAGGTCGGTGAAGTGTAAACTGTGACATTGTGGTGACCACTGTATTACATAATTCACTCATGGAACTACAGGTTGGGGGTATTGTTTCCGCACGGACATATGTGTTGCTAACTGATATATTGTGTGCCCTCCTTGATTCTTCCTCTTGTCTTCCCGGGCTGCGACATCTGCATTTCTGCTGCTCATTGAAGCCAGCTTTGTACCTTCATTGCACCGCCTCCGACTCCCTATCTCTCGGCACTACAACATACACTGAGTAGTTTCTATGCAGAGCATCATATATTTAGCCTTTATACATATATTACTGTTAATGCAAATGTGAGATATAATCCAGACAAACAAAGAGTATTAAAAGAACAATATGTAGCTAAGGAGTATGTAAAGTATAGTTTCCAACCATAGAAAACTGTTTATTGTAAGGCTTTAACTGTTGCTAGATATTATCTGAAAGGTATAAACCACATTCAAAGAGAGAAAGGTCGTCTCCTTCCATCAGAAACATTTTTTAGCCGGTTTTTAAGTATTCTTTGTTTCATTTCCAGCTCGTCCTGTCTTTGTTTACAAATACAGACTGCTAGCTCTGAAGCTAACTTTAGCATGTGGCTAAACCCTGAGCTGTAGCTGGACCCGAACTCTCTGTGGTTCATATCTATCTCAATGCAAGTTTACCGGGACATTAGAAGGTTTACATACCGTAACAAACCCAGGGATTATGGTGTGAATCTGGAGATAAAGTCTCTGCTTTCTCTCGTTTCTAAGCTACGATCCTTCTCCTTCTTCTGTTGCCATGGTGACCGGGTACATCGTGTCACGTGACAAACAGCGCTTTCCCGCTGGCAGTTGGACTGTACCATTCTGTGGGGAGACTGGACTGTACCAACTCGGGGTAAATCTGTTAGAAAATGTAAAATAAAGTGAATTTCGGACAAATAGAAATGTAGGGGTCATTATTCTTTACAGCCTTTAAGAGGCAAATATTTAACTTTCTACTACACTATATTTAGTTGATACATTTAATATTCAAACTATACACACAATATTAAAGCTATCTTCACATTAATTAATCGATGTCTTAGTAATTATATTGTATTATAATATTTATGATTCAGGGATGGGCTATTCTATTAAACGAGTACTTTTAGTACTGTAAGTATTGTGGTGCTTTCACTGTTTAATGCACAACTTGTATTGACTGTCATATTTCTTGTTACATATTGCTACCGACAAGTTAAAATAAATACAGAATGAAACAATGTACATGTGTGTTTCTTCAGGAATAGACAATGGGCAGAATTGACAAACCCATGCATGGTATTTTAAGAGATATGATATGACAAAGTTGTAAATATTTACATGTTTATTATTATTATAAGACACTACACTACCCAGAATCCTCAGCTCTCGTTTGGGACTACTCCATGTGCTTTGCTTGACAAACCCCGTGATTTGCCCTCAAGCTCTGTGATTGGATGTTGGAGTGGCAGTGCACGAAGTTTAAGCCTAGCCAAACAGCATTTTGAGATGGAATGAAACCCATCGACGGCACTTAGGTCACAGTCTCCTCCAACAGAGCAACACAATAAAACAGAAAAAATAGTGCAAGTAAATACACAAAGAAAAATAGTAAAAAGTGAAATGGTGCAATAAGAGTCTATACAAGTGATTGGAATATGATATATTAGACAAATCATTTCTAAGTAGCAGCCAGATGAATGTTGTTTCAAAGTTCAGGTGTTTAATAGTCTTATGGCCTGTGGGATGAAGCTGTCTCTGATGCCCCGGCCACACGAGGACGAAAACGGCCGTTTGCGTTACTGTTTAGTGTCATATAGACCATTCGGCCACACGAGGACGACCGAATACGGCACTAAACGACTGAGGAAACGACAACGGGTCCCAAGGTGGATAGAACGGCATACGCAACGCTCTGGGGGGTCAAACGGCTCCGTGTGTACGCCCTATACGAACATGTTCTGATAGTGATTGCGCAATAGCAATAGCCCCGCCTCTCCCCACCTCTGCTGCTCACCCCCGCGTTAAAGTAAACTGCACACTGAATTCAGATTATTTATCTTTCTCTCGATATGGACATAAACGCGAGAGTCTAATCCGACAGGACGGAGACACCTCTCAAACTACATAAACTAGTTATAAATATGTTTATTTTTACTGTCGGCCGGGTCACTCATTACTGGATCAGCTGCTGCATGAAACAGACACTGACGCTGTCCGAAGAGAGGGAGGAAAAAGAGAGGCTCCATGTATTTTATTATTATAATATATAGAGTCGTTATTCATTTGTTTTAAAGCTCAATAAATAACAAAGAAGACCTTTGACCAGCACTTTTATAATTTTGTCGGAAGATTTAAACTTTAATTCACGTTGACTGGCGAAAAACTCTGCCCGGTTCCCCCACCGCGGAGAATAAACAGAAGGGCAACCATGACAACCATGCTTCTTCGCTGCTTTGGTGGAGGAAGTTACAGCGCCACGTACAGGCTCCTGCATGTACTGCAGCTTCTCCAGCGGTTGGAGCTAAACGGAGCGGTCTCGTGTGGACAGACACTATCCGGATAACTATTGCGTGTGGACGGAAGCTTGTTTGCGATTGCGTTTGCGTTAATCCTATGCGTTTAGCCGTTTTCGTCCTCGTGTGGCCGGGGTCTGAGTCTGGTGGTTTTAGTTCGGATGCTGCGGTAAGATAAGATAAGATGGTACTTTATTGATCCCAATTTGGTAAATAGTTTTTGTGGCAGCAGCATAAAAGACAAGGCATTTTACAATAAAACAAAACTACAAATAAACAAGAATAGAAAGAAAAGAAAATAGAAAATATACATGTAGATATTATATATGCAAATATATATATATTCAAAGATATATGACATATGGAATATTAAATATTGAACAGATTATTTACTACAGAAGAGTAGTCGGCGGGGCCTCCAACGGCACAGGACATAGGGTTGGCAGGATCCCCGGCAGAAGAGTCGGCGGGGCCTCTAACAGCACAGGACATAGGGTTGGCAGGATCCCCGGCAGAAGAGTCGGCGGGGCCTCCAACGGCACAGGACATAGGGTTGGCAGGATCCCCAGCAGAAGAGTAGTCGGCGGGATCCCCAACGGCACAGGACATAGTGTTGGCAGGATTCCCGGCAGAAGAGTAGTCGGCGGGATCCCCAACGGCACAGGACATGGAGTTGGCAGGACCCCCAGCGGAACCTCCAACGGACCAGAACATTGGGTAGGGACTTGAGAGGGGACTCGAGAGGTGACTTGAAAGGGGACTCGAGAGGAGATTCGAGAGGGGACTCGAGAAGAGACTCGAGAGGGATCTCGAGAGGGAACTCGAGAGGAGACTCGAGAGGAGACTCGAGAGGGAACTCGAGAGGTGACTCGAGAGGGAACTCAAGAGGTGACTCGAGAGGGAACACGAGAGGTGACTCGAGGGGGAACACGAGAGGTGACTTGAGAGGGAACTCAAGAGGTGACTTGTAAGGAGACTTGAGAGGGAACTCGAGAGGAGACTGGAGAGGTGACTTGAGAGGGAACTCAAGAGGAGACAAGATAAGGAACTGGCCGGTATGCCGACAGGACACAGGGAGCTGGCGTTGGCCGGAGAGCCAGTACTGGAGCCGAAACTGGAGTCGGGACCATAGCTACTGGGGCCAGGACTGGGGCTGGAACTATGGCTGCATGGGCCGGTTCTGGAGCCGGAAACATGGCTGTGGGAACCGGAACTGAAAACCGGAACTGAAGCCTGGATCATGGCTGTGTGGGCCGGTTCTGGAGCCGGAAACATGGCTGTAAGTTCCGGTTCTGGAGCAGGGACCATGGCTGCTGGGGCCGGTTCTGGAGCCGGAAACATGGCTGTGGGAACCGGAACTGAAGCCTGGATCATGGCTGTGTGGGCCGGTTCTGGAGCCGGAAACATGGCTGTAAGTTCTGGAGCAGGGACCTTGGCTGCTGGGGCCGGCACTGGAGCCGGAACCATGGCTGCTAGGACCGATACCTGAGTACGAGCTGGCTTCCTGACCTTGCGTCTTTTAGAGGTCTTTTGGAGGCTCCGTGGACCTCCAAACGCCAGGCGGGATCCCAAGAAAGGGTCAGAGAATGGAGACTGGCACTCAGGGCTACGAGAAAAAACTCTGAGAAACTCAGGCAATGAGCTTCTCAACCATGGCACGTTGTCCACCTCCATTTGTGCGTTTTTGAGGACAGCGTCTTTGTCCCTTTTAGCCGAGGTTCTACTCCATTCAGCATAATGACACTGAAGAGTGTACTCTAGAGAGAACAAGTCCAAATTAAAATGAAAATCTGCTGGGTCCATTGTTGGTCGGTTCATTCTGTTAGAATCACTGTCAAGGATTCGCGGGAAAAGGTAGGACCCAAATGCAGACTACAAAAAGGTAAAGGTTATAAACAAAAGCGAGCTTTATTTAAAAGCTGAAAAACAAAAAACATGGCATGAATCAAAAACATTGATAGTACAAGGTAGCAAGAATACACAAAACTGACCGTGACCAACATGGAGGGAGACAGGAGAGACAAACAATGAACCGACATGGAACACAGGGGAAGACTAAATACACAGAAGGGTAATCACAGGACAAGACACAGCTGGGCAGGGGAGGGAGAAACACAAGGGCAACAGGTGAACACAATCAGACACACCAGGGAAACTAACGACAGGGAGGAGGACCAGACAAAACACAAGGAGGAAGACAAAACACCGAATGAACAGACTTACAAAACCCATAACCAGACAGACAATACTAAAACCGTGACATAAACCTGGGAGTGTGACAGGAATTACTGTGATATTACAGTGTGTTACTGAGGAATTACATAATTGTGTTGTACATGCATTACAACAAGGGCCTGTACTTTTACATTTATATTGTGAAAGCAATGCAGGAGTTGCCAGCAATTTACTGTCAATTTACAATGATAGACGTGCATAACCGTACTCCCCAGCTCCGGTACTTCCTGGAGGAAGCTCATACAATGGTTTCCTGTCAAATATTATAGGATGACGTGACTAATCACGTCATCCACATACAGCAAGCAAAAATGCACAAAAAGCATCTCACCCGTGAGACAATCCATTGTCTTAAAATGTTACATTCAAATACCTTAAATAAAGTTCTGAAGAGAAAAACTGTTTTTTACATTTTTGTTATTAGATTTTTATGATCAAACACAAAAATAAATAGAGAACCTAAAGATCTACAGCTAGATACTATTATTTTACAGCTTTTTTGTAACATTTTCCAATCAAACACGTTCAATAAAATGACAGCACAAAATGTTCTGTAGGGAACATTTACTATAAAAAATTTAAAATATAAAAATATTTGTAGAATTATACAACCATTAATGAATACAGCATTTCATATTTAAACATCATACTTATAAACAGTAGAAACAAAAAGTAAGTTGAATTTTTTAAGATGACTTTGAAACATTCTCAACTGAAAATAACAGAAATTGTCAATTTGAAGGAGCAGTGTGCAGGATTTAGTACGTCTAACAATGGTAGGTTCCAACCAATGGATAGCTTGTTCACTCACCCTCCTATCCCAAGTTTGTAGGATAATGAATATTGGCTGCAAAAAACTTGAGGCCCAATCATGTTTCCTCTGTCCATTCTGCGCTGCTGTCAACGTGGCAGTGCAACCTAGAGGACAAACAGACAACAATTAGTAAACCATAATGATGAATGTTATTATCAGCAGCTGCCAATAGATCCCCTATCTTGTATGATGGACCTATGAAGCAGGGTTGGAAACTTAAACACACACA